AAAAAAAAATCACTAGTCCTGATTTGGTACAATCTAGTCACAAATCTACCAATATCAATTAAGACTGAGATAACAGCTACCAGGCATCATAAAGCCTAAAGTGCTAATATGTGTATTATAATTTTACTTTACAACCAGCAGTGTGGATTTAGACAAATAAATTTGAAGTACTTTTGACAATCCTGCCATAGAAATAGAATGATGCTAAATCTTCATATGCTTTAGCTAATATTTGTGTCATTTTAGGAGCATGGTATTCCCACCGACATGGGTTATGCAGTGGCCCCACACCATTCCGGTGTTTACCCTGTACACGTTCAGCTGTATGAGGCCTGGAAGAAGGTTTGGAATATTAAAATCACCAGCACTGAAGAGTACCCACATCTGAAACCAGCTCGATACCGCAAGGGCTTCATCCACAAAAACATCATGGTGAGCTTCCTCTATTATGCTTAGAATACAGCTAATTCACCAGCTTTACGTTTCTCCTTTGAAGTAAGAATGAAAGAAAAGACCAAAATATTAAAAGCTTAACTGTATGAAAAGCCACATGTTGCAGCAAGCATATTTGGCATATCAAATCAAAGACTGTTATTAAAATCATTTCTTTGCAATTATTTAGAAATTATTAAAATGTCTTTGACATTTCTGTTAAGGAGACACTAATGTTATAATACTAAGGAAATATCACAGTTCACTTGCAGATAATTTTTAGAAGCCATCATTTCTTCAAAAATATATTCAGTGCATGAAACCAGCATAGACTTTGTGGATTTTTTTTTAAGATATCAAGGATTTTAGTTCTCTTTGATCAATATTAATACAAATGGAAATGTTGTTGTTAGGTGCTTGTTGAGTCCAGTATGAATCGTAGTGACCCTTTGAACACCAGATCTGACCAGTCCTCTCTTGTGTCATCCTCACAGTCTCTGAAACATTCTAGCCTATCACTGCAGCCATTGTATGAATCCACCTCGTGGAGGGTCTTTCTCCCTCCACCTTTCCAAGAATGGTATCTTTCTCCACGTGATAGTGTTTCCTAGTAACATGCCCAAAGAATATGAGATGAAGCTTTACCATCCTTACCTGCAAGGAACACTCTGGCTACACCTTCTCCAAGACACATGTTTGCTTTTCTGACAGTTCATGGGATTTTCAGCCCCCTTCACAAACACCACAACTCAAAGCCATGAATTCTTCTCTGTTGTCTTTATTCACTGTCCAGTTCTCAGACACATAGAAAGTGACTGAAAAGACCATGGTCTGAATTAGGCACACCTTAGTCTCTAACTTGAAATCACTGCTTCTCAGTAATTTGGAGAGGTCCTTGACAACAGACCTTCCCGGTGCAGCGCCTCCTGACTGCTAGTACCAAGTGTATTTATTGTGGATTCATGTAAGATGAATCTGTTGAGAGTCTCAATCATGTTTCTATCTGTTGTGGTCTTACCTATCCATCCAGTGGTAAATATTTTTTGTTTTTTTATGTTAAGATGTAATATGTATTGAAGGCTGCCGTATTTGATATTCTGCAATAAGTACTTCAAGTCCTCTTCATTTTCCACAATCAGGGTTGTGTCATCTGCAAAACACAGGTTGTTTATGGGTCTTCCTCACTCAGAACTTCTCAAGCTGCAAAAAATGTAAAAGCAAATTCAAGCCTCAACTTGCAATACTGAGAGATGCTAAGGGCAAAATCATGAATGATCCAGGAATCACTAAAAGAAAAAATAGACAGATTAACTCTACAAAAAATAATTGGTTGACATTGAAATATTTCAGGAAGTACTATGTCAACAAGATGAAATGGTAATGAAGGAAAGAAGTTCAAGGTGCACTGAAGGCACTGGTGAAAAAATAATAAGACCCCAGGAAACAATATTTAAATAGAGAATCAAAAGAGATATTCAATAGAGGAATCAATAGAGATATTTCAAATGACAGATGCAGCTCTAGAAGTGCTCACTAGTCTATGCCAGGAAATCTGGAGGATAGTTACTTGGTCAACTGATTGGAAGAGGTTCATCTTTGTTCCCAAACCCAAGAAAGGTAATCCAATAATAGAATGGCAAAATTATCAAGCAATATCATTAATATCACATGCAAGAAAAATACTACTGAAGATCATGAAAAAAAATGGCTAGACTAGTACATAGAGAACTGCCAGAATGTTAAACCGGATTTAAAAGGCCCATGGCACATGAATACCATTGCTGATGGCAGGTGGTTCCTGGCTGAAAGCAGAGAACACCAGAAGAATGTCTATTTGTGCTTTATTGACTATGCTAAGACAGTTGACTGTGTGGATCATTACAAATTATCACTAATATCAAGATGAATGAGAGTACTAGAATATTTAATTGTGTTAATATGATACCTATCCCTAGCCCAAGAAGTTGTTGTGTGAATAGAGCAAGGAAATACTACATGGTTTAAAATTAATGGTGTGCATCAAGGTTGTAGCCTTTATCCATACTTATTCAATCTCCCTCGCTCCCTCCTCTCTCTTCTCTCTCTCCTCTGTCTCTTTTCTCTTCTCTTCTCTTCTCTTCTCTTCTCTTCTCTTCTCTTCTCTTCTCTTCTCTTCTCTTCTCTTCTCTTCTGTCTCTCTCTCTCTCTGTCTCTCATATATTTTGGAACTGGCTTAGAACTAAATCTCCAGTGGATTTCTGAGACTGTAAATCACAGGGGAACACATTGCCCATCTTTCTTCTGTTTAACCACTAGTGATTCAAACCAGCATAGGGCTAGGCTATGTTATACGTTAACAGCTCAACTTTCTATGAACAACTATGCCAATAGGACTCCCTATATTAGGAAATAGGCGTCCTACATTAGATTCAGACATAGGGGAGACCACACAGAAGAACATTATGGGGTGAATCACTAGCTGTCAAGCTGATATGTTTGAAAAACTGCCTGCCCTACAAAATTAGATGTAATTGATTTCTTTTCAAACAGTTTTACAATATCTGCAAAAATTACAGAGTAGATAATGGCATTCCATTTGGATCAGCTTCGTCTTGATTTTTTTTTCAAAAGATGATGTAAATTCTAGATGGGGAGCATCGCAGCCACATTGTATTCCACTATGACCTTCTTCTGCTGAAAATGAACTCGTGTGTCTCTGTTGTGGTTGTTATATACAGTCTAATAGGAACCAACCCATAATTAACCCTTCAACAGGTTTTCAGAGGCAGTTGATCACCTAGGAGGAGATTGCCTATCTTTCTCCCGTGGAGCAGCTGGTGCGCGCGCCTCTAGGTGTTTCTTCTGAACAGAGAGATGACAGAAAACACCTGAATTATGTTATTATTTAAAAACATTCTGCAGTCTCCTGTCATTTTAACATATAAGCAATCTTTGTAGAATGGTAAACTGGAAAAGACTTTGCTCAACATTATTCTCTTTTACATTTGTTTCTCTTTGCATTGCCAGAAAATGTGCTTGGTTTTGTCCCGTGAACTGTGTTCATTTTTGTTTTACCTGAAAACATTTTAAATACATAAATTTTACAGGCAATGAAGGACTTAATAGATTTCTTGTTTTGATGGAACTGTCCCTTGGTTTTGCAGCAACCAAGGGATTCCATTATAATTCGTTTGTAGGGTCCTGGATGGGAATTTCCAAGTAGGAAATGTTCAAAAGGCAGTTTATTATATAGGGAGAGAACAAGGCTGCTGTCACTGTCGACATAGAGATGCTAATTGAGATCTCAAGAACCAATAACGCTGGTCTTTGCATGTGATTAACTGACTCGCTGCTAACTGAAAGATACGAGTTCAAGTTCAAGTCCATAAAACAGAAACACCTTGGAAGAAAGGTCTGGTAATCGACTTCTGAAGAATAAACTGCTTAAAATCTAATAGGTCCCAGTTCTACTATGAAATACAAGGGATAACCATGAGTTGAAACTGACTCAGGGGTAGCTGCTTAGGAAAAGACTACAAAGGAAAAAAGAACAGGGAACTGATGAGCAAATCTTACATCACATCCATATTTTGTTTTATGGGATTGTTGTTGTTGTTGATTGCTGTTGAGTCGAACATGACTCATAGCGACTCCATGAACAAAAAGCCTGAAGCCCTTCCACAACCATCTCCATTTACCAAAATTCACATTGTTTCCAGAGGCATGCTGTTTAGGAAGTGGATGCCAATCCTGCTTCCAAACCTATCTTAAACTGGGAGCTCCATCAATCACTGTCCACCATGGGTAACCGTTATAGCAGTTGATACTCCAGTGGGAAAAAGTTCAGCATCACAGCAACCCCAGGTTACCTCAGTGGAAAATATTGATAGAAGAATGCTGTACCACTTAAAAGAATGTTCCTCCATAACAATCACCGACTTTTAAATACAAAGGCCGTCCCAGAGGTCTTGTTGACTCTAAACATGAGGCTTAAATAAAAAACAACCAATATAGTATGTTTTTGTTGTTCTGTACTATTGAGTCGCCCATGACATATAGTGACCCTGTACAACAGCTCTGAATACTTCCCTGTCCTGAGCCAGTCTCACGAATTTTGACACACCAACCCTCAGTGCCCCAGATACCATATCAATCCATCTCATCTGGGGTCTTCCTCTCCTGCAGTGTCCCTCCACCCTTCTGCGCATGATGTCCTTCTCCAAGGATCAGTCTCTTTGGGCCACATGGCCAAACTATGTGAGGCGGAGCTTCAAAATCCTAGCCTCCAAGGAGAGATTTGGTTTCACCCTCTCGAAGACAGACCTATTTGTTTTATTGACAGTCCGTGATATATTCAGTACTTTTCTCCAGCACCACAACTCAAAGGCATATATTCTTCTGTCATCCTTAGTCATTGTCCAGCTCTCTAGTAACAAATAATTGCGAAGACCATGGCCTAGAATAGGCACGCCTTTGTCTCTAAACTTACATTGTTGCTTTTCATCACTCTGGAGAGGTCCATGACAGCAGATTTACCCAGTCTGCTGGTGTTACGAGTGTTGATTGTGGAGCCGAGCAAGCTGTAATTGCTAACAACCTCAGTCTCTTCTCCATCTGTTATGGTGCTGCCAATTGGCCCAGTGATGAGAATCTTTGTCTTTTTTTATTTTGAGCTTCAATCCATGATGAAGACTAAAGCCCTTGACCTTCTGCAGCAAGCATCTCAGATCTTCTTCAGTTTCAGCAAGCAAGGTTGTGTCATCTGAATATTGGAGGTTGTTGATGAGTCTTCCTCCAATCTTGATACCACATTCCTCCTCATAAAGCCCTGCTTCCTGAATGATCTGTTCTGCATATAGATTGAAATGGTATGGGGACAGGATGCATCCCTGATGCCCTCCTTCTTGATTTTGAATGACACACTATTTCCTTGCTCTGTTCTGAGTACTGCTTCTTGGTCCAAGTATAGGTTTCACATAAGCACGATCCAAGTGTTCTGGGATTCCCATTTTCCTCAATGT